GATAAAAATAATGAAGTTATATGAAGATGTTTACTGAAGAAAAAGAAAGAAAATGAAATATTATCATCACGATGCAAGGTTTATAATTTGTTGACTCTGAGTAAAAAGAGAAGAGTACGAATCATTGGAAACAAAAGGTTTAATTTGTCTTTGTTGTTAATTTTTTTCTTTTTGAATTTAACGATACAAAAGTATGTATAAGATTGAATTAATAATTGCAAATTATATTTGAAGAAATATAGATTGTAATTTATTTTTTAATTCAGATATTTCTACATTCAATATAAATAAAATAAAATAAAGTTTATATCTTAAAGATCTCTCCTTGTTTTATTCTAAATCTCTGAATCCTTCAAATAATTTAATCTTGTATGTGTAATCAATTATGTTTACAAGATTATATCTGTTAGAAAATGATAAAATTATTAAATTATGTTATATGTATAGTAAAAATGTTTATAAAATGGAGGACAAGAATTACAAGTTAGATGATAAACTATATTTTCACTAAAACTTATTTCTATTCTTTAGAAAATGATCAAAAATAAGCTAATTTACATTAATAGAAATGAACATAAATTTAGTATTTAATTTATTATTAAGAAATCTATTGATTATTTGTATCTTTAGCCAATTGCGCCATTTTTATCTCTATTTAAACTTCTAATATAAACTTCTATTTTATGAAATATTGAAAAGTTGATTGTAAAATTGAAAAAGTTTCCTTAATATTAGAACAGATTTGTATTTACGTTAAAGCTTAATTCCAGAATTGTTTAAACGGTTCTGTCGCAAGCTATTTTTACATGTACTTCAGACACTCCTAACGACGGTCATCGCCGTTGTTCCGCTTCCTATGACCGCCATGAATAATGTCGTACCTCTTCGTTCATGCGTAAAGTTTCCGATCGTCGGACGAGAAGCGATGTCAATCGTGCGAGAAACATCAATGCATTGTACATACGACTGATCGTGATCTGCGCGATCCGAAGTGCATTGTCATGTAAAAGTCTGATAGTTTTATTCTTCTGTGCAAACAACAACACGTCCGAGCCGCGCAAGCGAAAAACGCTTTCAAATACATAGAAAAGAATTTTGCAGAAATTTTTTTTGTTATACAATCGGTTTTTTTATAACTATATTTCGTAACTATATTCTTTGACATTGAGACTTTTCTTAACTTTTCTGGACTTTATTTATAATTGTAATTGTACTGTTACGCTAGAAAAATATTTTATCAAATATTTCGCTTAATTTGGTTATGCTCAACAATAACTTCGTTTGTCGTTAAAAAATATTATACTTGAATAAAAAAAATTCTGAAGCAGTCCTTTGTAAACTTAATAGCAATGATGATATTTCAAATAATAGATTAGATAACATATCTTTATATTTTTACCTTTTAAAAAGTATTTGTATTTTTGGACATTTGACAAGCGGTAAAGGAATTCTTTATCGTTCTAGAATTAAACATTTTTCTGCAAAATATATATTTGTGAAAATTTATATCTCTAAACTTGGATGTGGTATATGCCGCGAAAAATATATTTTCCTCGGCGATGTCTTCACCAACGGTAACCGCTTATCACGCACGAGGTTCGCGTATAACCGCGAGGACGAGTCTATCGGCGTTTAGCCGGCTTTCGTGAATGTAAACTAGGCGTTTCCTGCACGTATCGTACAAAGTGCTCGATTCGCTGGTCTTTTTTCACCCAGGCCGATCGATAATGCCATTGCAAACACCCTGTATGTGCTCGGTTAATGTTAATGGCAGGGGCCGGCTCGGTCGAACGGGGTGGGTTGCCCCTTTGCCCGTGAGTTAGAGCTTCCTGAGGCTTTCCTCGCATCCACCGCTCTACCCCGTCCTATCCCGTTCAAGTCTTGCTTGGCTAATGGTAAGGGCAGGAAATATCAAAAGTCGTCTCCACGATCGTTCTTTTTACCTTATTTCTCTCTTTCTTTCTCTCTCCTTTCTCTGTTTCTTTCTTTCTGTTTTTATCTTTAGTTCTTTCTCCTTCTTTTTTTTAATACAACTAGATATCTTTACACATGACTTTCGAAAAACAGAAGATGTAGTTTTGAAATTAATTTAAAAACAAAAATTTTTAACGAAAAACTGAGACAATAATCAATATGATAGATATTTATGTTATTATAGTGGCCGAAAAGATATCTTCTTATCATATAACACACACATTATACTTTATGCAAATTAAGTATAGAAAATTAATATCACTCTATTAATTTTCTATACTGAATTTGCATAAAATATAATGTTGATGAATTTATTACGAGCGAAAGAAAATTTGTAATTTAAACGAAATGTGATCTTCGTAAGTTTAAATTAAAAGCAATATAGTAAATAAAACGAAATATATATTTGACATACACAAATGTAAAATCAATTTGATTTATAAAGTTTTGGTTTATAATGATCTCTTTCTGGAATTTCTACATCTATAATTTCTACACATGCAAAAACAATTATAAAATGATAATTGCTAAATTACAGATGAAAGAAAGGGAGAAGGTGGAAATGAAAAAAATATATTACAAACAATTTACATTTAATTTAAATAATAATAAAGACAGGAATTTATGTTTTAGAGTACGTTGCTTAAACTTACAATTAATCGATTATATATATTGTTTATTCTTTACACTCAAAATAATTATCTATGTATAAGAAATATTTAGCAATATTTTTACAATAATTATTGATATGTTCCGTTGCTACTGTAAGAAAAATATTAAATGCTGAGAACAGAATGGAAAACGATGATGTTTTTTTACAGTAAATCTTAATATCGCGAATTCCTTCTGGGAAGGTCGCAACGGGGTTAATACGCTTATCGTGCGCAAAACGTGATCGTCGAAATGATAAAAGAAAAAATGAATCTGACTCAAGAGAGTAAATGTAATCACTGTTTGTCACGAACAGCAACGCATTCAACAGGTTAAAGCAACACATTAAAAAGAACGCGAATTTATTCGCATGCTTAAAAATCTCTTTCGTATCTCGTGAATTCGGTCACGATATTTCACCGGGATGAACAGTACCAGATACCAGCGTATAAAATAGTAACACGTTAATCTTCTTCTCGCGTGTTCGTGAAAATAAATTACTCTAGAAATGCTACAGATTTACTACAACGGTTTTCTGACGTTACGTGAGTAATTTAGTCTTTTCTTCCTTGGAGGCGTTTATTAAGAATTTTCAGAAAGCCCCTTAGCGATACTTGTTCAAGTGAAGAGCCATAATCTTTTAGAATTTAGAGTCTTGTCTATATAAGAAATTTCTTTTTGTATGATCAAACATTTTAATAGCTTCTGTTAAAATTTTATAGAAACATAATAATGGAAAAGTGTTATTTAAAAAAGCTTTCTTCTTCAATGAGTAAAAACAGCAAGCGATATGTAGTATAGCTTTGGCCAAATTAAATATAAGACACTCTTAATTTATCGCATTTTTTGGGAAAATAAACTTTTAAAAGAGGGCTAACAAAATATTAAATTATTATAAGAATAAATATTATTTTTAGAACTGTTCTTTAATTTTTAATTTTAATAAAACTGTTTTTTATCTTCCGTTAGATATTTTTTATTAGAACGTTTTCACACAACACCAAAGCTGTGTAATATAAAATAAAATAATTGAAATATTAAAATTTTTAATCATCTTATGCCTCTAAATAATTTTTATGAATTTTATAATACATGCTTCGTCTTTATATTATTGAATCATTTTCCTTGTTTTTCTTTCTCTTGCTAAGTAAAAAACGGATGGCTTCTAAATTCTGTCATAAATTTGTAGGCGAAAAATGTATAGTAAGTTTGAAACTTTGACAGATTTATGTAGGACACGCAAATTACAAGCAGTTGGCCGTTTGTTAAGGCTATTCTCCAAATGTTCTCAACTCAGAGTGGTTGCCGCTTGTACTTTTGATACAAAAGAAGTGCAATTAGAAGCAACGTGCACACGAGACGAGCCGCAACGGTGAAAAGACGCACAATCGCGGCACGCTTCGTACGTAAATTTGACCCGAGGGATTCACCGATATATCGCCTGATTTAATTTGTTGCAATTAAGGCCAAGGGTCGCTCGAGCGTACATCGATGCGGAACAGAGGAGCGGAACACAAGGAGGGAGAGGGAGAGGGAGAGGGAGAGAGAGAGAGAGAGAGAGAGAGAGGAAGAGCAGTCTCCACCCGTGGCTCACCGCGCCCTGCTATTAATATCAGTTAACGACACGATATGATCACTTGTCTATACCCAGACAGCCAGCTGCCAGCGGCGGCCGTTTGAGCCGAGTCATGACTCGAACCATGTCGACGCGCAGATCGCTTCGACCGTGATTCGAGCTCATCGATTGCAAGCTGACTCATCGGGACGAACAGTTTCACCTCGACTCATAATTTCGCGAATTCTAATACGCAGTTAGATAATCCTATTCACGGCTTTTAAATTAATTTGTGTTAACACTAACTCTTTTCAGCCAAGCGTCAAATATATGTTGCGCAAATGAAAGAAGGTATAATCAAAGTAAAGAATCTGTGATCAGAAACGTTACGTTACGTTTATATTCGTAAAATAATGTTTGACTTCGAAAGATAACAAAAAATTGCATTTTTTAATATCTTCTATTGTGCCATTACGTAAAGGTATTTTTTAAACTCTTACGTTTGCGGTTGCCGATATCCCAACAATAGCAGATCCGTTCGCGATACGCAAGAAAACGTCATAGGGCCATTACGGCAGTGGCATACGTACCGATAGCAATGGGCGATAGGGAGCGGGTTCTATCTAGCAGACATCCGGCCAGCATCGAAACAAGCCGACCGCGCGCGGATTACCATAAGCATTTATATATGCGCCAGCGCATTATACTTGCATACCCGTCGAGCGAAGGTGCCCCGTTGTCGACGACGGTAGCGCCTCGTATTAGGCGCGGGTACCGCACAGGGGATGCGTGTAGGTGCCCATCAGACCTGGCTACTTACTTACGTGTACCAGCAGGCCTCACGAGCCGCCGACACGCGAGCCTGATTGACTTGTAGATGAGGCGACACAGTCGATATACTCCGGACTCTATACCGTCCGGCCTCTGGAAATGGCCCCCTGGCTGCCACCTACCACCATCGCGGCCACCCCCATGGTACCATGGTTCGCTAGTAGGGATTCCCATGGTCGGCCCATGGGTTGCATCGCGTTCTCTCGCGTCCCCCCTTCTCCCCCCCTCCTCCCCTCCTGGTGATGCTTTCCATTCCTCGTCTCTGGAGCGTTTCTCTCGCTCATCATTCTTTCGCTCTATTTGATTCTCTCTCTCTCTCTCTCTCTCTCTCTCTTCACCCTTTTTATCCGCTCTCTTCGCCCTCTTTCCCAGTCACCGACCGTTATCTAGTTAATTAATCTCCGCCGACGACGGTAGTCGACTAGCGGGGTGGTAAAACTCCCACCGTCGCTGCCGCCGTAACGAGCCGCGGCGACGAAAGTGTCGAGCGGCCACAACCACCCCCTGTTCTCCGGCACTCTGTTCGCTGGCGTGGCGTTTACCCTCCTTTCGTCGGGAAATTTTAATTACGGTGAAAGAAAAACGGACAGGCCTCGTTAGAGTCCGGACGAGTATAGAAAGTTAGTTAGATTTTCGAGGGAGTTCGGAGATTCGTACGATGGAAAAGAGATATCAATTGAATAAAGTACGTGAAGTACGTGATCTTGAGATTTTAATGATACGTGTAATTTAATTACTAAAACGGGCTTGTGTGAGTAAAATAACTGAATCAGAAATTCGGACGTTTTAATTATATTTTTTTGGTTTGCGTTACCTTTAAGATTCACATCAGATGATTAGTAAGAATGATTATAAAGTAACTAATTCCTTTAGGTGATTTCTTGGAGGATTCTAAAAAAGACAAAAAAATTAAAAAGGTTGTTTAATTTTGTTTATTTGGAAAAGACTTTGCTTCAGTAAAAAATTTAAACGTAACGTTAATTTTCAAGAAATGATAAAAACAAAGTAAATAATTTTACATTAAAGCATCTTTTAAAAAGGGTTTATATTCAAATAATTAAAAATCGATATTCTCTTATTATATATTATAATATATATTAATATCTAAAATATTTCATATTAAAAAAAAATTTGTAAAATATATAGTTATGTACATATATCATATTATTATTTTCATGAATACAGATATTAACCAACTTTGAGAAAAATTAATTGATCGTAATATCTGCAATCTTTTCGTTATTCTTCAACTTTGCGGTATTCTTGTAGTATTCACACTTTAATATTCATATTCCTTCCGTTGGTTGTTGCTTCGAGTGTATAAATGGTATAATCATTTCGAAGATATATCAGTAGAGCTGTAGGTAATGACTGGACAAGAGTAAAATTAGACCGACTGTGTACAGATCAACCCTAGGCAGTTACCTGCAGTATTCATTACCATGGGGTAGAAATTTATCGATCTCAACCTCAACAATGGTCTACCGATCGGATAGATAGAACTAGAATTTTTTCCACGGATAGTGCAAACAATTAAGTTTCTAACAATTCCAATTCTTTGAATATTATAGACTATTGTATTAAAAACACACCCTTTTCTTTCATAAAACGCATGATTATTTTTTAAGTAAATAATTAATAAGGTCTTTAAGTAGATTTAATAAAATGTCACGAGTCTGATTTAAGCCAGGGATCTTCTACTGTTTGCTGTACTTTTACTCAACTATGTTACAACTATAAAAAATATATAGTATCAAATTATTATAATATACTATTAGCCGGGATTATCTCCTAAGAGGAACAGTTACCTCCACCAACATTTTACCTTTTAGGACGAGAATATCGATTTGCGAGAGTAAATATCCCCAAGCCTCGACGTCGCTCGCACAGATGTCCGCGAACGTCGTCGCTGCGGTTGGCGTCGCCGCCGCCTCCGCCGTCGACGTCGACGCTAGGCGTCACGACGGCGTCGGCAGCGGCGGTGGTGGCGCACACGCTGCTCCCCCTGATGCGGGGTGGGCAAGTATTGATTGGTCGCCGTAGTCGCCGTCGTCGTAGGCGCCGTGCTAAAGGGTGGCGGAATCGCCAGGCGCCATCACGCGGGCCCGCCGCGACCGTGTCGTCGAGAAGGGCGTCCAGCCAGCGTCCGGCCGCGGTCTCGACTCGCCGAAAAGATGGTCATGATGGCTGGCATGGACGACCATGAGCGCAAAGTCGTCCTCGAGTTCTGTCACCTGCTCGAGAAGAGCAAGCAGCTGTTCAACGGGCTGCGCGACCTGCCGCAATACGGGCATAAGCAGTGGCAGGGTTACTTCGGGCGGACCTTCGACGTCTACACGAAGCTGTGGAAGTTCCAGCAACAGCACAGGTGAGTAATAAAGATAAGGGCAAGAAAAAGGGGGAGAGAGGGAGAGGAAGAGAGGGAGCGTGCGCGCGTGTATGCGTCTGCTTGTGTATATGTGAAAAAGCGAGGGAAATACATAACTTTATGGCGAGGTTTCTTCGATCTTTTGAGGTACACTTGGTGTATGCGTGACGATTTCTCGAATTACTTTATCAAGAGATAAACGTTTCTAAAATGATTCACTGATAGGGGATAAACAATATGCGTGCCGAATATCTGCAGTGTGGAAAATCATATTGATTCAATTTCATAAATTTGCATGCGTGGTGATTAAACGATTTCTGTCGATTTTCTTCGGATGACCTCCATGCCCGTCCGCGATCTCTCACGATCGAGTAGAAACAGGCATATTCGGCACGACAGTGGTGGCGCTCGGCGAGGCATGCCGCAAGATTATGACCATCGTAGAAAATATCGTACGGTATCGTTCTTGGCGTTTTGATGTAGAGTGTACGATATATAATTTTAGCACGCGAACGCGTTCGCGATACCGCAGCACGATACCTGATCATGGTTCGCGGGTGTCACGACGACCGATCCAGATGACGATGACATGAAACAAAGGTCTGCGTGGCGAGGTCCACGTGACTAAGTCCTCGTGTGTTGCGCTTTAAACTTTGTATCTGTTCGTCAGCCAGTCTCACAAGTTTGCAGTAGTACGAGATCGAATGAATCTCATTTCCGTTTACATAACTGGTTGATATTCTTACAATAGGACAACTCAATTTCCGCGCATCGTATTGAAATGTTACATATTGGCGGAAAAAGTTTTCACTTGTTTTTCTCGCTTCTGTCGTTACTTCATTACATGTCGTTGCTAATTACGTTATCGTATAATACGTACGTAATAAGCGGATCTTCAATAAAGCAAACAAGAAAGAGAGGCAAACAAAGGAAGTCTTTTAGTCTCTCTCCGTTCTTTCTGAACTCTATTAATGTTTCTAATTAGGAATGTTGTGATTTGTGTGTGTGCATATGTGTGTATTATAATTGATATTTATTTTATTGTTAATTTTTACATATTTATTTATTTGTCGTGTATATCTATTATATTGTATACATTTATTTTATTGTTGGAGATATGAAGTAAATTGCATTTTGATTTGACGACTGATTTCTTAAGTCGTATAAGTTTATTATAATATTCAAATAGATTATTTTTGATTTAAAATAAATATAAGATATTTAAAGTTATTAATTTTATTTTATTGTCAAGTATTACATATTCGCAAATCTTCTTTCAAGAAAAATATATTCCTAAATCATCTCGTAATCATTAATCTATAAAAATATATTTCGTTATAAACGCCAATGTTCTCAAAACACGCATTTTTCAGAAACGGTAAAAAAGATCATTGACAATAAAAGCCTTAATTTTAATTCGACTATCTATATACAGTAGACATAGAAGAATATGGGGAAAAGTCAATTTTTAGATTTGCCAGTAATTCGGCGATAAAAAAAAATAAGAAGCAGCACGCTCACGTGTACAATTTCGTTTTGTTTTTAGAACGATACTGGACACGAAGTACGGCCTCAAGAGATGGCAGATCGGCGAGATCGCTAGCAAGATCGGCCAGCTCTACTACCACTACTATCTACGTACCAGCGAGACGAGTTACCTGCACGAGGCCTACTCGTTCTACGCGGCGATACGCGGTCGCGCCTATTACAGCCGCGCTGCTAAGGAGGACAGGAGCGATCTGATGGTGAAGAAGCTCAGGTATTACGCCCGCTTCATCGTCGTCTGCCTCCTGCTGAACCGTATGAAGCTTGTGCGGGAGCTTGTGCAGGAGCTCGACGCCCAGATAGCCGATTACACCAGCACTTACGAGCCCGATGATCAGCTCGAGTGGAACCTCGTCCTCGACGAAATCAAAGCTTTCGTCAAGGCCGAGTCCGCGGTCGGTGTCCTGCACTCGGATTCAAACCCCATCGTGCTGACCCACAGGCTCGGTCCGCAGACCTGCCCGCCCGTCGAACGATCGCCACCCATGTGCCTATCTCTCCAAGAGATCCTAATAGTCGGCAATTGCGCCGATCAGGTGAAGTTCAGTGAGTTGTCAATGGACATGTTCAGAATGCTGCAGACACTCGAGCGGGAGCCCAGAGACGACCCGAATCACCTGCACGACGCCTCGCCGGCCGGCCGGATGCCCTTTAGACCCGGGCCCTATCCTGGCCCGGAGAACGGCGCGCCGAGACGTGACAATCCGCACAAGTACCTGCTGTATAGGCCGACCTACAGCCAGGTGCAAGTGTTCCTCGCAAGTGGCTTCAAGGAGCTACCAGCGAACGGCGCGTTACTGCTGTACCTGTCGGCGGACGGCTGCTTCTCCACCGTCAAGCATCCTGAAGAAAGTGAGTGTTTTATCGAGTTTCATATTGACGCTTTTATTGTCCGTTTTATCGCTGCGCTGTCGCAAGTTTATAGGCGTTAGACGTAAATCCCTTTATTTTAAACGGAAGATTCGCTGAAAATAGATCTTGAAGAAAGGGTGACATGCATCTTCTATAAATCGTGCATTCAATTTATCGCTCGATGGGACTGCTAGTTTTAACAAGCTGTATTATTAATAAGTTATCTCTGTACATTATTTAGAAAAGTTAGAAACTTCAGTTGCAATGCTTATGCAAACGTTTAAGTAGCTTTCCATTCGCTTCGCTACCGAAGATGACCTATCAATCATAGGTCAATTAATAATATGCGACAAATATCACGTGAGAAAATGATATTTTTATAAAGAATAAAAATAAGCGATAGAATATAAAGGGGGGAGGCAATCTTGGTTGAAAAAAATTAAACTAAATAATTAGAAATCGTTAAATTTAGATAATACTTTTATATG